CTTCGTTTGCCTCGTTTACTTCTTTACTTGTTTGCTTTAAGTCACTATGTTTTTGTTTAAATTAGTTATCGTTAAGTACCTGAGTGTATAGTTGTTTGGTTTTCTCGCTCGTAACCTACTATCACTGTACACCAATCTGTCCAAGTAGCTCCGGCTCCTGTCCTGGGCTACTCGTGCACGTGATYCCTACACCGTTATTTTTTCTACTTCTGATGTCATCTTGCTGCGGTCTTTCCCTTCTATTTATCGTCGATTCTGTCCCAGCTGTATTTTGCGATATATCCCACACTAGATTATTACGCCTACCGYACAAGAACAGCTCCTTCAAATGTCTCCTAAACCGCTTATTCTGRATGCTATACACRAAAGGATTCACACATGAGTTGACGCACACGAACACAGTAGACGTATGATACAGTAAAGAACCATACTGAAAACCAGTGACGTAATACGCCAGTAGATACGACGTCACATCCGGCAACCAGCAAAYACTGTAGATGACCGTTACCACGACAACCATGATGGTGATTCGTTTCTTGGCCTTTAAGGTAGCAAACTGCGTATCTCCTGTTTTGGCCATGTTTCTAGTTTCGATTCTTAGGACTCTGATAGTCTGTGCGTGTAGGTAAGCCATTATGAGACTCGGTAAAGCGAAATCTAGAAAGAAGGTGATCATGGTGTARACCTTTGGGAATGTAATGCTTGGCCAGTCTTCATAGCATGCATCGATTGTATGGTTATACTTCATGACAATCACGGGGGATAACTCGACCGTGAACGCGTAGAACCAGCAAGCAAGTATCAACCCTTTGACTTTGTTAATCGTTATCTGTCTCCTCTCAAGACGCGAGTGAACTATAGCATAGTACCGCTCGAAAGCAATAGAGACTAGAGTGAACGCAGAGGCTGCTCCTCCGACCCATGTGAGAAATCCGCCCGTAAGAAACTTACATAAAAAGTCTCCGGTTTTCCCAGCTGGGTGATGAAACGCGCGGCGAAAGATGTACTGTGGAGCGAAGAATGTAGCCACAAACATATCCGCTACGGCGAGATTCACCAGGAGATAGTTCATTGGTGTACGCATGGCACGATGCCCAAGAACCACATAGCAAACAAGAGAATTTCCAACCAAGTTCACTACCAAKAGGACAGAGAAAACTATAGTCAAAGCCGTACTTGCAGAGGAAGACAACATGGCTAAATTGAACAGTCTGTGTTGAATTTTCTCGGGCGATTTGCTTGGAGAAGTAAACTTAAACACAACTCGCTTGTTTGTGGCAATCCCAAAATTGAAACTAGAAAGCGAAACAGCGTCACACTTTGTATGYAGCCTGGAAAATACCCAACGGAGCGGCTTTTGATATTACCTCGCTTCAACAATTAAAAGTGTCAGCCGGAGAACAATCAACAGACGATGTTTGATATTATTCGTTTGAACTGAATAAAGTTTACTTATAGAATCTAAACCAACTAAATCAACTGCTTAAACAATGTTATTATCGCTTATGGCAGCTATGATTATGAACCTTTATAGCGTAATTTTCAACTTCAGTGCAAATTTTAAACGAAATGACTAAAAACGTCCGGCAGCCGGACACGGTCTTAGAATAACTAAGCGTCCGGCAATCCGATATTTTCCCATATTTCTTTTCGAAAATCAGCCAATCTTTCTTTCGAAACTGTTTATCTTTATTTAGAACTTACTATTTTAATGCAAATTCTATGACCAACCCCAAACAATCTACACGAAACTTGTAATAAGAGATATAAGTTTTTAAACAAAAGTGACAATTTCAAATAAAAGTGTCGGTGTGTATTCCGGCTATATTGCTTCGAAAGTAAATTAAGAAAAACTGCTTGRAAAAAATAGATTAAAAATCTAATTAATCGGTAGGTCAATGTTGGTGGGTTATGCAASCAATTCAATTGATATATTCTATCAAAAAGAATAAATGAAAAAGTTTATTTTGGTTTCAATTTTTTCAATTTTTTYAATTTTGATGTACACAAGTTATGAATTGAAAATTGGTGATGTAAACAAAAGTAAAAGTAACATTGTATTTGTGTCATTCATCCAATAACAACACGAAGTTATGGTTACAGTAAAATACTGCATAATTTTGCTGTATTTTCTTTACAGCAATTTTTAAAATAATACATGTGTATTGAATAAACCACACAAATGCCATGATAGGAAACCGTGTCAGTGATACTGCAAATCGTTCCATATGAAAAGTGTTTTAGTAGATCGTAAATATGCACTATAATAAATTGAGAAACACCCAACTTCCGACCTCGGGACAGGGCGAGGAATTAACGTGGCGAGACCTTTCCCTGTTCAGCAATCTTTACAAAACCGCTTGCAAATTTATTAGTAGAATTATTTTCTACTATAGGTGGACACTAAATTTAATKTGAAATGTGAAATCAAGAATGTTATTACAGAAACGGAAGTAATTTCTTAAACTGATGAACACAAGAGAAGTTGATCATGCACAAGTATAGTAAAATCTAAAGAACTTGAACAATATTTTGTTGTTATAAATTGTGAATACTATTGTTCTGTGTTGCAGAAAATAACTTTACAGTAATTTTCACAGATCTTAATAGTTTTGTTTATCGATTAAGACAACTTTGAAGATATTTTAGACTGTCGAAACATTTCCAAATTTTCAAGCTGCTTGGATCGTTTAATTGCCCTATTTCACTATGACGTCACTGCTTGTTTATGTGGGGGATAGAATCGTCAAATCCAAAGGAAAATTCAACAAAATTTGCTCCTAGCGAAACAGTTTAATCTAAAATGGCCTGGTTTTCAGATAAAATATGTGCTAATATGTACTAAAAAATATTCTGAGCGTTTGCTGGCTATTCTACTTCTCTTCRTGGATTGATACGGGTTTTRGAACAATTTTAGGTGARTTTGCGCTGATTTGACCCCCTCCGACGACCATGATCCTTTGCGTTTAAASAATAGATTGTTTTGATGTGACGTCATAGYGAAAGAGGGCAATTAACTAGCATGGCTAATATTGATTTTTGTGTGATTTTCTTAGTCGTGATGTTTGCTTAGCACCATTTGCCTTAGAAAATTTTGTGTGCCAACTCTTTGACATGTTTTCAAATTTTGATATCCAAGTTTCATTGTTTATTTGTTTTCGAATAAACTTCCTGCAGGTGACGGTGGAGCAGGATTGAAAAGACACAAAATTCTCAAATTCTGACTCTAAACGAGATCAGTAAAACCTGCAGCAAACGTATACGCTCGGGCTTCATCAATAAGAGAATTTTTAAACACGTGGATACGCTGATTTAGAGGTAGCAGTACGCATTTTTCTTTGCGAAGGCCTTCCGTCCACACGCATGAAAAAATTCGTTTTCATAAATATCCGGATACGTGTGGAACGGGGCCTTAATGTAAATGTGTGCCGCTATGCAGTCTAGAAAGATTAGATGTAAAGGAGAGAAAGCCTTCCTTCACGCCTCTCATGTTCCAAGAGCCTTCAAGCTTTTCTGGTCAGCGGGCCATSCTGGAAACCGCTGGCCAGAACTAGAGAGTGGCTTTTGAATATGAAGATRTTGTTTCTCTCTGCATATCCGCTGACAACTGTCCATTATCGTACGTTCTTCATTATAGAGGTTCACATATCCTTTGGAAGCGCTTAATAATATATTATTATGGAGTTCTTAGTTTGCTATTTCTGCTGATGGCAAAGTGCTAATCATGATATGTTTGTATCACTGACATAATTATGCATGTTTGTGCGAAGTATTTTGAGCTATTTTCAAATTTTTTATAACATCGTTACATAATTTTGAATAACATCGGCGGAAATAT